CGTTATTTGTTTCTCCAGAGGGCTCAGGACCATTTTCCACTGCCGAATACTCAGTTCACCACGGTCGATAGTGATGATGACGTGGTGAATATCAAGATGTGGAGTGATGCACACTCAGCGGTGATTAATGAGGTGCAGGCGGCTTTTGGCCAGTCAGTTGGAGGCTCGAGTAGGAATGTGCGACCTCGCACAGAGCTGCACCCGAGCGTCGAGGAGGAGCACGAGTACGAGCGCGGTGGCGACGTTCCTATGGACATTCCGGAGAGCTCCAATCAAGGAGCGGAGAGGCCTATTTTTCCACCTCCCTTGAGCTTAGACGATCGGATGACGAGTTTGGAGGCCGAGATGAGAGGTGTGCGAGCAGATCAGAGAGAGATGATGGCGATGATTCGCCAGATGCACCAGTGGCACATGGACGAGGGCCATTTTGGCCCGCCGCCTCAGTGAGGTTTTGTGAGTGTTTCTTGATCCTTAGCTATGAATTTCTATTATCTCCTTGTGTTTCATAGAATTTCATTTAAGTTTGGGGGAGTCATTTTAGAGGATTCAAGAAACACGTTATTTTGCATTTCATGTAGTTGCATGTTAGGTTTATTGCTTTAGCACGTTTATTGCTTTATTAGGATTTGAGTAGTTGTAGTTGATCTACTTGGATTCACCTCAATGAGTCTCTTGTGCATATTTGATATGGAATTGGGCATAATGTGTTAGGTGATGGAATTTGATGATGAATTGAGTTGTGAATTTGAATGATTGGTTGATGTTTTTGATCCATGAATACATGATCCTTGTGAGCTTTTGAGCCGTATATTTTTTTGATTGAGTATATCGTTCATTGTTGATGGAATTCTAGAACTTGCATTGGTATCTATGTCGAGACCACATGGTGTGTGCATTTTTGTGAAAATGATCTAAGGCATATTTTTGTTTGAGCCTTTTTGACCTTTTAGCTTACCAAATGATAATTATATTCCCTAGTTAACCCTTTTGAGCTTTTGCCTATTTTTTTGGAAGCCACATATTAAGCTATATCTATATTTTATCTTTGTCCTTACTTGAGCATTTAAGATTACATTATGTGAAAAGAGGATGAGTGTTTTGTTGTGGTGTGGATAAAGGGATGAATAGGGAAGGTTGATGATGTAAGTTTAAGGTTGATGAGCTTATGGATATTTGTATTTTCTTTTGATTTTGAAAAAAAAAGAAAAAGAAAAAAAAAGTTTATTTTGTATATAATTTGCCTTAGTTCGAATAAAGGCGGTTTTTAGTTTGTTTTGATTTTTATTTTCTTATGGCTTGGGAGTAGATCGAAAGGGGTATGGATTGATTTTGAGTGGTTTGATTATGATTGGAGGGTGATGAAATGGTGTAGTTCATGTTTTGTAGTTCGAGATGCTCGAGTTTCGTCACTTTATCCATATATTTCCTACCCTAACCAAAGAGCCTACATTACAACCAAATAAAATCCTTTTTGATTCATGAAGTGCATGCACGATAGGTGGTGGAGATAGTAGACGATTTGCAAGCTTATGGTAATTCTTTGGCATTGAATTGATTTGAGCGATTATTTTTCCTATATACTTTTGAGAGAGAGAGAGTATACACTTATCCGTGAGGTTTGTGGATTGAAGGCATTGACCATGATTTTGATGAAATATTCTTTTTGTTTAAAAATTCCGGAATTTAGTATGTTACTTGCCCGATGCCTATTGATGATGTGTATGATTGACTTTGAGAGTGTGATTGCTTTTACTTGCGTGTTAGTATGAGTTTGATGCATTGATCGGGACTATCAATGGTTTAAGTTTGGGGGTTTGTTCATGTGCGATTTTACACCATATTCATATAGTATCTGGAGCTTATTTGTCGCATTATTGGTGTATAAATTGCATATTTGTGCTTTAATTCTCTATTTGTTGGAAAGGTGTTACGCGTGCTTGTTTTGTAGATATTTTCACATATTTGTAGAGCTTGTGGCTATTGGAGGAGCATGGTGAGTGCCTAAAACCCCCGGGATAATGATAGATCGATGCACGGATGAAGAGAATGGAATTAAAGAGCGAAACGAGTCGAAAATGAGTGTACAGTGGTGTGACACGACCCGTGACACGGGCTCCGAGGTCGTGTCACCACCCGTGTCATCCAAACAGAGAAGTGTAAGTGCAGAATACCTGACACGACCCGTGACAAGACCTGTGACACGGGCGTGTCAGGTCGTGTCGCGACGCGGGCTGTTTTTAATCGCTTACCTTTTTCGCTTAGGAGAGGAATTTTGGACATATAAAAAGACCTATTTACCTGATCTTGAGCCCCAGAACGTGATTACACAAGGAGGAGAGTTAGAGAACACACAAGAGAAGCAATTGGGAAGAAGAGAAGATCGACGACAAGCTTACTAGTTTTTCTTTCTATCTTTTGAACTTGTTTTCTCATGTTGATTTTGAATATGTCTATGTATTTGATTTCAAACATGAGTAGCTAATCTTCTTTGATTCTAAGACATGGTAGTAGATTAATATGTTGGGATTTTGGATGATTTATTTATAATTGATGATTTTTCTTTTGAACCCTATTCAAGTATTTTGTTCTTATTCCATGATAGAACTTGATCAATTCTTTTTCATGTTTGACAATATTGTTCATAATTCGAGAGATGAGTTCAATATTAGGTCTTTAATATTTGACACAATTTACTTGCTTGAATCGAGAGATTAGTAGGTAATTGTGAGGAGTTTAGATCTTTTAATCTATTTGGAGTTGAATTGCATGTGTGTTTTTCCTTAGATTTACATGGGTATTTCAGATGTTTAACCATGATTCTACAAAAAGAGTCTTATTGAAGATTTCTATTTTAACTACAATACTTAACAAAAATTGTATAATGGCTTCATACAGCTTTCTAAAAATTGTTTAACCAAGAAAATAGGAAAATAATAGAGAGAGATTGCTCAAATTCTATGATGAGTTAGGAAGTGTATGATGAGTTAGGAAGTGTATGATGAGTTAGGAAGTGGCTTCATACAGCTTTCTAAAAAGCTACTTACACATGCTAACTTATAAATCCACAACGTTTATATGCAGGAAAAATTATAAGAAACATATAGCTACTTGGTAGATTTATGACATTACTTGGTGTTAATTCGTGACTTAAGGATTACAAAAATCACGGGGATGGGATTCATTCCGAGCTGATTCAGATAATGAGAGAACGATTGTTGGTTCATCTAAGAAGCCTTCCTTAAATTGTTGATGGTTGGAATAGGTCAGAGGATAACTATTTACAACTTAGTCATTTTGCTCGGTCACTTTCCAAGGTACATATACATTGTCATTTGATCGTATTCAAAACTGGTTGTGTTTTCTTAAAAAATAACAAATAAAATTACCTTTACATTGATGCATCTGTATTCACTTATTGGTTCAGGAAGTTGGATATCTTCTACGTAACTTAACCGAACATTTACTTGAAGAGGATGTTCAAGCTATTTATGGGTAATGCTCATCTCCAGTAGTCAAGTGGTGTATTATTTTTATCTGTTTTTGTACTTGTTTAATAAGTTTCCATGCACGGACAAGCTTGGTTTGCAGTCACAGTAACTTTTTTGTGCTCTGGTATTCCCATGGTAAAATTGAATTAAAAGTTAAACCTTTAAGAACATATTCCATTTCCTGGTTCTGATCCATGTGACAGTTGTGTTTGCATGCTAGTTGTGTAAATTAGCATCTGTTTGACTGTCTGATCATTGCGCCATGTACTTCTGCAGGTAAATTTTTGGTGTAATTATGCAGTCTCAAATTCATGATGCATATCCACGATTGGAGAGTCAATCAACAGGTTAACCCCCAATTTGCTTTTGACAAGGGTGTGAGATTTTATTTTGATGCTACGTAGGATTCACATCATATTTTTATAGTAACATTTTTAATAAACAAATTAATATAAGTAAATTATACTCCCTCTTATCTTTTTTATTTGTCATTCTAACTTAATTGACTATTGAATAAATAAATGTCATTTTGGCTATTTTGTTCATATTTTTCCAGTTGTAACCCCTCCACCTAATTTCCAATGTCTCTTCATATTCTATCTCTCTCTTGATTTTTCACAAATCTTCATTTATTTTTTACACTAATCATCATTAATTGTGTTACTTAATGGAGTAGTAGTTTTCATTAAATAGGGGTAATATTGACAACAACAAAACTTCTTAATTGGAGTGCTAGTTGCTAGAATGACAAATAAAAAAGATAGGAGGGACTAGGGAGTACTACATATTGATTTTATGTTTTTAATTATAAATAATATTTAATGAATTTAATTTATAAATACTACTCCCTCCTATTCATAATAAGTGTCGTTTTGAGAAGTTGCACAGTTATGAAGAATATTTTTGTTGCCAATAATAACCCTCATTAATGAGGATAGAAATGAATGTTTTGAGAAAAGATGAAGGGTGAATATGAAAAGACGTAGCATATTTATTAGCTAGATGAGGGTAATAATGGAAAAACATGTACAAAATATTCAAAACGACATTTATTTTGTTAATAGTTGATAATGCCAAAATGACATTTAAAAAGAATAGGAGGTAGTAATGAATATTTATTTTCCGTATATTGCACGAGATACATAGCTAGTAAATGAACGACCTAATTTAGTAGGCAATTTGAACTTTCCCACCCCCAACTGGGAATTGCATTAAATTGAGCAGAATCAAGGCGGCCCCCACCAAATATGAATCTTGAAACAGTAGTCAGCGATTAATAAGCCCTAAAACTCCAAAGGCGGAATCTATTGGGAAGCTCCCAAAAGCAGCGGCCCAGATTCTCCGTCCTTTGCATACGATTATAATTAAATAAATAGTAATTAAAATACGCCCTTTCACTATTCAAGTTCAGCAGCCATTTTTTAACGTTTGGCTTTTGTAGAGCAACTCTTCTCTCATTCAGTCATCGGAAAACCAAAAGGTTAGAATCGCATACAGCGACACCCTGCAGCCATGTGTGGGATTCTGGCCGTCCTCGGCGTCTCCGAGAACTCTCAGGCGAAAAGGTCCAGGATTATTGAGCTGTCCAGAAGGTATTGATTTTCATGTTTCAGTTTTATTTTGTCTGACTCGATTTTCTGCCCTTGTGGTTAATGATTCATTGCATCCTGTGGCTATTCACATTATACGGCCACCTTGGAGTATGTCCATTTTTATTTGTTGGGCTGTTTGTTTGTATTTTTCGTTATTGTCAGAACTTTAGTTCTGCTCGGAAATGTGGTTGGGTTTTGGTGGATTCGATGTTGGAAGGGATTTGACGGGAGAAAATTTAGTTTAATGGTGAGGCTAGTGGAAAATGCTCGGTGTTATATTGGATTTTATTCACTTGGCTGCTGACACGTTTTGCTCATGTTGTTGAATTCAAACTTTTTCCGTTGTCCGGTTGTCTGACATTTGATTTATATTGGGTTGCAGCATCGAATAGGTAGTTTTTGAGATTAACCATTTACAAACGTAAAGAATGTGTAGAAGTTTTAATTGAAATGGGTTTAGAATGCAGTGAGATTCTACGGAACTCAACATCTGTATCAGTAAGTAATATGATGAACACTAACCAATTTGTCTAAAGTAAAAAACAAATAAATAAATAGATAAATAAACCAAGACCAGTCGTTCAAAAACAATGATTTTCAATGATTCAGTAACCACTCATCTCTGCTTCCCACCAGTGCCTTCCTAACTTCTTCCGTGAATTCATGGGGAAATAATTGAGTTGGTTATTTCGTTGACATTGTTATGGATCAGCTTATGCCTTAATCATCTGAGTGTTTGTTTGTTCAAATATGGAAATTGTAGGTTGCGCCACAGAGGGCCTGATTGGAGTGGGCTTCACAATCATCAGAATTGTTATCTTGCTCATCAACGTTTAGCTATTATAGATCCTACTTCGGGGGATCAACCACTCTATAATGAAGAGAAAACAGTTTTTGTCACGGTAGGTAACTCTTTTACGGACATATTTTTAAGTAGTTGTTTATTTGAAGGGACTATAGTTATTACCTTTGCTGGTTCGTGATATGTTGGTCATAGAATTGAAATATTCTGGTGAGCTGAAATATTCCTGCTGTTTGAATTACTGCCATGTACTTGTTTTTTTTCCAATGCATAGATGCGTAGTTTGAAGTTTTTGGAAGGATGTTTCTTCAAACAACGTTAAATGTTGGGGATGGTATTACCATGATTCCTAGGCCATAGCTTCTGAATTTGGTTCCTTAAAGTACCCTTTTGGTTTTGTGACACACTCTTTTTGTGGTTTCAGGTTAATGGGGAAATATATAACCATAAAGACCTCAGGGAGAAGCTGAAGTCTCATGTGTTTAGAACAGGAAGTGACTGTGAAGTCATTGCTCATCTGGTAAGTACTCATAAACAATGTAAAGTGAACTAATACGTGATATCCTGTAGTTATATGTGTTTGAGTTGTTCTACTATAGCATCTTAACGTGCTATATAACTGTATTGTGAAAAGCATACTATTATCCAAGCTGCAGCTGTTCCTATTTCCTACTCTACTGACTTGACTAATCCTTTATCAGTATGAAGAATATGGAGAAGAGTTTGTGAATATGTTGGATGGAATGTTCTCTTTTGTGCTGCTTGACACCCGTGATAATAGTTTCATTGCTGCTCGTGATGCCATTGGTATTACTCCTCTTTACATCGGCTGGGGTCTTGATGGTATGTTATCTACTTTCCACTTATTGATTCTTGATGGCTTGTCCATACTGCAAGAGGTTTCCTAGAGTTACTCAACTAAGTATGAAAGAGTGTTATTGTTGACGGCCAAACATTTGTCCTAAGTCATAACAACTGAACACTGAACTTTCTGCAGGATCTACTTGGTTTGCTTCGGAAATGAAAGCTTTAAGTGATGACTGTGAGCGATTCATGACTTTTCTACCTGGTCACATCTATTCAAGCAAAAGTGGTATGCATTTTGGAACTTGTAGTATCAAAGTGCAATTAAATTTTTGCCAAACTCTGCCGCCTTACCTTTTCCCAGTTGTCTGAGGTTATTTTATCTGTCTTACTGTCGCTAAATTTCCTGCCCTTATATGTTAAAATATTCCAAATATTTTCTGTTATAGTCATAGTTGTCAAAATAGCAAGCAGCCGCCAATCATTTTGATTTAGTTTTTTATTGCTGTCAAGGTGAGATGGACTAGTCAATATCTGATAGAGATAAGGAAAGTAAATCATGGGAAGGAAAGAAAGAATGAAATAAAAGGAAAGAAAGAATGAAATAAAAAAGTAACAGACAAATAAAGGGATTGTATGGAATCATGGTATCCTGCATGGAAGGCTATCAATTGGTTATCATATTTATTCCTTATTAACTATTACCTTAAATAAATAATATGCTTTTAAAGGGTTGTGGGGAAGTGATGTTTGTTGGCTTTTTAGCTTGGGTGGGATTATTTCTCGAGGAGAACTTCAAATTGATAGGAGTAAAGGGCCAATGTAAAAGAAACTAAATATTATTAAATAAAAAAGAAAGAAAAAAGAACACGGGGTTCTCCAAGAACATGAGGTTCTCCTCGAGAAATAATCCAGCCCAAGCTAAAAAGCCGACAAGCAATATTATCTCTCTCAATACCTTATCATCATTTCCTCACAACCCTTTTATAAGCATATTATATATTTAAGGTAATAGTTTATAAAGAATAAATATGATAACAATTTGACAGCCTTCCATGCCAAGTAGGATCCCACGAATCATGATTCCAGTCAATCCCTTAATTTGTGTGTTACTTATTTTATTTCATTCTTTCTTTCCTTCCCATGATTTACTTTCCTAATCTCTATCAGTATCAACCTTTCTTTGAATGTGATATATGATCTTCATGAGGAAGATGAAGCACCAGCAACATTGGCCTCTGCCAGATTTCGCAGGAGGGATATATTTATGTTAATAAGCCGTCGGACACTTGTACATTAGCTGGACTAGAAAAAACCTTTTCTTGTCCTTTCTTTTTAGTTTTTCAAAGAGCTGGGGTTGTGTGGATGGGTGGGTAGAAGGGATTAGTAATTGAAGGGCTTGGGATTCTAACTCTGATCAGCACTCTTTTAAGGTTGAACAAATCACTTGAGCTGCGAAGACATGTAGTGGCTAATGATTGTTTTCCTAGCATATTCTTATCTTCTCTGCTTTTTGCATGGTGCCACGGTCTACTTGCTAGCAAGCTCACTTCTTAAGTTTAGATTACTAAATGATGTGCAGGAGGGCTCAGAAGATGGTACAACCCACCATGGTATGCGGAGCAGATACCTTCGGCTCCTTATGAGCCCCTTGTACTGCGAGCGGCCTTTGAGAAGGTTAGCTTTATCAGTATTTTCACCAGTAGATTGTTGAATGGCTTGTTCCTCTGAGATCTTTTCTGACCTCTCTTTCTTTCTTCGTTATTTTCCTACTATGGCTCTGTTACTCAATCCATCTCTCTGTGCCTTTGTTTTATTAATCTTTTCTATTTTCTTTTTCATCTTCTTCACTCATAGCTTTCTCTATATTGTGACTTATATTCCTCTCTACACCTGTATTTGCAAGTTATAACGTGTTGACTCTGATCCTTCGGTGGATTCATCACCCATCTTCTTCTCTAAATACACCCATCCTTCTTCATTAAATATACATTCCAGTCACAAAGGTCTTCATCTAAACTCGTAGGGGTCTCCGCTTTTGATGAATCCCTCGAGAATTTTAATCTTGAAATACACGCTTTCCAAGTCATTGAATTTTATTTATTCATTTATATATTATTATTTTATGCTTTTCTATGCTGCAGGCTGTTATCAAGAGACTTATGGCAGATGTACCTTTTGGGGTACTTCTATCAGGCGGTCTTGACTCATCCCTTGTTGCTTCTGTGGCCTCTCGATATTTGGCTGATTCTCCAGCTGCACAGTGGGGTACACAGTTGCATACCTTTTGCATTGGCTTAAAGGTATCAAAACTCTTTTTTGCTATGGTTGTCTTCATGTCTCTTCAATGTCTTTATTGTTTGTCTTTAATCATAGTTATTATGGTTCTATTTTGACTCTCATCCTGACAAACTATTTCTTTTTTTACCTTTTTATACTTGCTTTTTCCAGCGAACAGTTATTGATGTTTGATTATGAACATTGTGTAGGAAACCTATTCATGTTTATTGTTATCCAGTATTGACTTTAATAGATATAAGTATACTTTTGATTTATTCTTCTGACAGGGTTCTCCAGATTTGAGAGCTGCAAGAGAAGTGGCAGACTACCTTGGTACTCGTCACCATGAGTTCCATTTCACAGTGCAAGTAATAGTTTGCCACAAATGGATGCAGTAATCTCCTGACATCTTATGTTGAGATAAAAGTAACTTTCGTTCATTTTATTTTGCTCTCAGGAAGGAATTGATGCTTTGGAGGAGGTGATCTATCATATTGAGACATATGACGTGACTACCATCAGGGCCAGCACACCTATGTTCCTTATGTCTCGAAAAATCAAATCACTGGGAGTTAAAATGGTTTTATCTGGTGAAGGCTCCGATGAAATCTTTGGTGGTTATCTGTATTTTCACAAGGCGCCCAACAAGGAGGAGTTTCATGAAGAAACATGTCGAAAGGTACTGGACCTCATATTTGTCACATTTTAATTAGACTATGAGCCATCAAAAGTGTTTTCATACATTCATTAAATAAGGTTTTCCTTGAAATGTCTAATTGAATTCGAATTCAGATCAAAGCGCTTCATCTGTATGACTGTTTGAGAGCTAATAAAGCAACTTCCGCGTGGGGTCTTGAAGCTCGTGTTCCGTTTTTGGACAAGGAATTTATCGATGTTGCGATGGGTATTGATCCGGAATGGAAAATGGTAAGATGGGATTCATGAAATCCTGTTAACTTCTCGCGATCTTTAGCCATGACAGTAACTCAGTACTTACAAATGAAAGATTTCATAAATTCTGCGTATCATGAATTATTAAAATGGTCCAAATATATCCTACTTGATGGAATTTCAAGGACTCAGTGAGTGGGCTTATCTTCATAGCGGATTACATAATTCATAGTAAAGCACCAAATCTGATTTGTTTGTGGGTGAATAACAGGCATTAAAATTCTACAGTTGATGTCTTCAATTTTCAAGCACATTATGTAGCCTTATGTGGCAATTATGACCATGTTTCCTTTCCTGAAAACGAGCCAACTTTAGATATCATTGATTGAGTCATGCCATCCCAAGTTTTCTTCCTGATATTATCATGTAAATATTATCAGCGTGCTGGAATCGCGTAAAAAGGAAAAATGCTGAAGAAAGCAAAAAATAAAGCAAAAACTTTAAAATATATTGCGATTGAATTAATAAAGGTGTTATTTTGCTTTGCCATATGTATGCATTTTTTATGAACACTAGGGTAAGTCAAATTTGCTAACTAGTCTGCCAAGGTTTGGTTTATGCTCGGTTTTGTGTTACCTATATAAGTATGTTTTTCCAATGGCAGATAAGACCTGATCTTGGACGAATTGAGAAGTGGATTCTGCGCAACGCGTTTGATGATGAGGAGAAACCTTATTTGCCAAAGGTTTGTAGCTTTGCTTTTCAGGGTTACTCCCGTTATCCATTTATGCTTTGTGTTTGTACAATTTTCGCAAGAAAAGGGAAGAAAAAAGGAAAAAATAAATTTCGGGATATAGCCATAGGATATTGAATCATTCCGTTTCCTGGGTCCAGCACATATTATACAGACAGAAAGAACAGTTTAGCGATGGAGTTGGATACAGTTGGATTGATGGCTTGAAAGATCACGCTAACCAACAGGTGCACACTTGTCTTCACAAAAAAGAAAATTTTGGAACTAAACTATTCATTTTGTGTGGGTTTCCGTTTTTAAGTGTTGGATCTATTTTATTTCTATACGGGCAGGTTACGGATGCAATGTTAGCGAATGCAAATTTTGTTTATCCCGAGAATACCCCTACAACGAAAGAGGCATACTACTATCGAACCGTCTTTGAGAGATTTTTCCCTAAGGTGAGATACTCTGCACACCCAGTTTGGGCTTTTGACTTGCTATTTACATTTTTTCTTTCATTCATTCTTCTTCACTTTTCCCCCTTTTTTTTTCTTTGGATGTAGCCATACTAGTGGGGAGTTGATGGTTGTGCATCTTACCTTCTTACTTCCAATCTCTTTATGATTATCTCTATCTGCTCATTCGTGAAAAATTGATAAAATATGTGAGAAATCTTCAAAAGGCACCTTATCTCGTTGCACGTTCTGCCTGAGTAAAATGTTGTTCGAACAAGTCTATTAAATAATACTATGCTTCTGCCTGAGTAAAATGTTGTTTGAGCTTTAGTTTTACTAATAACAAGACCAAATTCAGGCCGGCACAACCACAGTAGAAATTCAAACAAGTCTAGTAAATAATACTATGCTTCTGCTCCATTCAATTTCATTCACGCTACATTCTCTAGCAATCGACTTAAACTCACTCAAGATATATTCTCCTTTTTTTTTTGGGAAAGAATGCGGCGAGATCGACAGTTCCAGGGGGTCCTAGTGTAGCGTGCAGTACCGCAAAGGCTGTAGAATGGGACGCTTCGTGGTCTAAGAATCTCGACCCGTCTGGTCGAGCAGCGCTCGGAGTTCACGTTGCTGCGTATGATGAGGCAAAGATGGCCGGTGAGTGTCTGGCCGCAAATGGCTCTCCCAAAGAGTAGAGTGTGGAAGAATACTGTGACTGTTTGATGAACTGTGCTACCATTTGTTTGGGCTGACTTTTATTTAAAAATCCTCATGTATTCCAAAATAACTATATATTGTTTTCGATGTGATTTCAGTTTGTAGTAAGTAGTACGTGTTGTCTTGGGCTTTTGGACTGAACATATTTTGCAAGATTATTAGTGTTCAAAAAAAAAAAAAAAAAAAAA